GGGGAGTAGAACAACTCCCAGAACCCCATCAAGCAGGTATCAACCAGGTACCAATTGTTGTCGTGGTTGATTCACTCGCTAATATTCACTCCTAACTTGTGGATTACAACAGCTGATCTCTTCACCAATTCTATAAATCGCCTCTTTCGAGGATTATGACAAATCTCCACCACACTACCTAGGTGATGTCTCTCCTGGCGTCACCCTCTGATTTATAGACCCAAAAAACGCTTATAAAAATCCACATGTAAAAAGGGGAATGCAAGACAGCTCTGAAGGGGAACAGAACTAGATTGGGGTGAGAGAGTACCTGTCGGGCCAGAGACAAAGAGTCACGGTGAAGGAGTGGAATTAGGAAAGAGGCGAGGGACTGGGGCCCATCCTTTTCCTTGTGTATGTTATGACCTAGCCGAGGAAGGTCGTGATTGGGATAGGTGAGAGCTGTAGGGAGACCTAGACGAACTGCAGGAATAAACTCAAAGATGGCTACTCGACTTCAAACCAGGTAAATGCAAGGTAATTAGAGCGGGGGGAAAGAGCCAGGGGACCCCAAGAGCAGGCAACTCTTTAACTCTTTCTCTCTCTCTCTCTCTCTCTCTCTCTCTTTCTCTCTCTCTCTCTCTCTCTCTCTCTCTCTCTCTCTCTCTCTCTCTCTCTCTCTCTCTCTCTCTCTCTCTCTCTCTCTCTCTCTCTCTCTCTCTGTCTTTGCCTTTCGGGCAGAATAATTTATCCACTGATTTGTTCTTTCAACCAGCCGTAAGTAACGAAATTACTGAGAGCAATTTGCCTCTCCCAGATCTCTCTCAATTTCCTGGAGCTGGTTGGTTGTTTGGTAGTTTCAATTTATCTATGTAAGTGCGTTTGCGTGTGTCTGTGTACACATTCTTGAGCCTATTGGGCTCTATCATATCTACACTTGAAGCTGTGTATGGAGTCAGCCTCCACCACAACACTGCCTAATGCATTCCATCTGTTAACTACTCTGACACTGACAAAATTATTTCATAATTTTTCTGTGATACATATGTTCATATATATGAAGTATATGGTGCCACATGCTGTTTAAACTTGGCACTGGGCTTTTGGGGAAATTTTTAAGACGGGGAAAAAAGGGATATCTTTGAGAATTCCTCATAATTTGTTACAAATATTGGTACTTTGAAACTTAAAAAATTGTCTAGGTGTATTTAGTGAGGATGATGATTCTCTGTTTACAAATGTCCTACTTACAAATCCCACATCACTTTAAATGGGATAACTTAACAAGATTCTTTCACTTTAGAAAGAAACAGCTTAGAGAGTTATTAGAGATAATAACTTTAGATTCTATTTCTTATTCATTTGAAACTAACTAGATATTTCCACCTCTTGGCTCCACCTTATGCTAACCTGTTTCTCTGGAATTTTGAGAAATTGGATACACACTTGTACCTCTGAATTTAAGCCTTTCTTAAGTAGATTTCTTGAGGAATTCCTTTCTACGAATTTCTTTCGTAATTTACCAATATGTCATGCCATAAAGGTGATTTTTCCTTTTCCTTTTCCTAACCTCAGAGTTGGTGCAGCCTACCTGTTGAAGATCTGTAACTTTTGATAGTAGATCTGTAACTTGTGATAGTAGATCTGTAACTTTTGATAGTAGATCTGTAACTTTTGATAGTAGATCTGTAACTTTTGATAGTAGATCTGTAACTTTTGATAGTAGATCTGTAACTTGTGATAGTAGATCTGTAACTTGTGATAGTAGATCTGTAACTTGTGATAGTAGATCTGTAACTTGTGATAGTAGATCTGTAACTTGTGATAGTAGATCTGTAACTTTTGATAGTAGATCTGTAACTTGTGATAGTAGATCTGTAACTTTTGATAGTAGATCTGTAACTTTTGATAGTAGATCTGTAACTTTTGATAGTAGATCTGTAACTTTTGATAGTAGATCTGTAACTTTTGATAGTAGATCTGTAACTTTTGATAGTAGATCTGTAACTTGTGATAGTAGATCTGTAACTTTTGATAGTAGATCTGTAACTTTTGATAGTAGATCTGTAACTTTTGATAGTAGATCTGTAACTTTTGATAGTAGATCTGTAACTTGTGATAGTAGATCTGTAACTTGTGATAGTAGATCTGTAACTTGTGATAGTAGATCTGTAACTTGTGATAGTAGATCTGTAACTTGTGATAGTAGATCTGTAACTTTTGATAGTAGATCTGTAACTTTTGATAGTAGATCTGTAACTTTTGATAGTAGATCTGTAACTTTTGATAGTAGATCTGTAACTTTTGATAGTAGATCTGTAACTTGTGATAGTAGATCTGTAACTTTTGATAGGTGGGGGATACCTTACTAAGACTTAAAACACCGCATCTGTGGGCGTGCGGGTACTGTTTCTACCACATCTGTGGGCGTGTGGGTACTGTTTCTACCACATCTGTGGGCGTGTGGGTATCTTTTTCCACCACATCTGTGGGCGTGTGGGTATCTCTTTCCGCTCAGGTCTGCCCTTAAAGAGAGTAGTGTCCTTTACAACTAGAGGTCACTGTGAAGCTGTCCTCTCACTCACCTGTCTCGTCTATCCAGTTGTCACGTCGCAAAAACGATGTCCTAACCTAACCTAACCGGCGTCCCACGCATAGAAAACGCCACACCCCGTCAATTTTAGTGTTGGATGCTGTAATACAGATTAAACATTAATTCCTCAGAATATACTTTAGATAGAACGACAATGTTAATCCCAGAGATTATGAAGCTATCTTGTGCAGACGAGGAGTCTTTATTATTATTATTATTAGTATTATTATTATTATTATTATATTATTATTATTATTATTATTATTATTAGTATTATTATTTATATGAAGGACTTTAGGTGGCTAAAAATAGGAGCTACCTAGAATTTTAGTCAGAATTTACGAATTTACGTATGAATTTAGAATCTAGAATTTCCGTATGCACTAGAATTTCTACAATATACCTTAATTCTTATGTTCTTACTACTAACAGTATTGCTAACATTATAGAAGCATGTACATAGATAAACATCCGTATTGCCCAATATCTACATAAACCAAAAGCCTAAATAAGCACTAACATAGGTATTGGAACCCATAACGAAACACCTGTGTGACTTAACATTCACATTCTCAAACACCTACACAATCACTCTCCTACTGAACGAAACACTTAACCAAACACCGGTGTTACCAGACATCTACATAGCCAAACACCTGTATTAAGCCGCCTCATGTGGGCGTCAATGTGATGGAGATCAAGAATTATATTGGTGTATAATTTTAAATTATAATTAAATTTGATGTATTGATGATGTGTTTTCTTTTTCAGGTATTGGTCCGGAGGAGGAGGCGCTCTATAGTGCTCGGCATGACGACAGAGACGAGGTGTGTGTGTGTGTGTGTGTGTGTACTCACCTAGTTGTACTCACCTAGTTGTGTTTGCGGGGGTTGAGCTCTGGCTCTTTGGTCCCGCCTCTCAACCGTCAATCAACAGGTGTACAGATTCCTGAGCCTATCGGGCTCTGTCATATCTACACTTGAAACTGTGTATGGAGTGAGCCTCCACCACATCACCCCCTAATGCATTCCATTTGTCAACCACTCTGACACTAAAAAAGTTCTTTCTAATATCTCTGTGGCTCATTTGGGCACTCAGTTTCCACCTGTGTCCCCTTGTGCGTGTTCCCCTTGTGTTAAATAGACTGTCTTTATCTACCCTATCAATCCCCTTCAGAATCTTGAATGTGGTGATCATGTCCCCCCTAACTCTTCTGTCTTCCAGCGAAGTGAGGTTTAATTCCCGTAGTCTCTCCTCGTAGCTCATACCTCTCAGCTCGGGTACTAGTCTGGTGGCAAACCTTTGAACCTTTTCCAGTTTAGTCTTATCCTTGACTAGATATGGACTCCATGCTGGGGCTGCATACTCCAGGATTGGCCTGACATATGTGGTATACAAAGTTCTGAATGATTCTTTACACAAGTTTCTGAATGCCGTTCGTATGTTGGCCAGCCTGGCATATGCCGCTGATGTTATCCGCTTGATATGTGCTGCAGGAGACAGGTCTGGCGTGATATCAACCCCCAAGTCTTTTTCCTTCTCTGACTCCTGAAGAATTTCCTCTCCCAGATGATACCTTGTATCTGGCCTCCTGCTCCCTACACCTATCTTCATTACATTACATTTGGTTGGGTTAAACTCTAACAACCATTTGTTCGACCATTCCTTCAGCTTGTCTAGGTCTTCTTGAAGCCTCAAACAGTCCTCTTCTGTTTTAATCCTTCTCATAATTTTAGCATCGTCCGCAAACATTGAGAGAAATGAATCGATACCCTCCGGGAGATCATTTACATATATCAGAAACAAGATAGGACCGAGTACAGAGCCCTGTGGGACTCCACTGGTGACTTCACGCCAATCGGAGGTCTCACCCCTCACCGTAACTCTCTGCTTCCTATTGCTTAGATACTCCCTTATCCACTGGAGCACCTTACCAGCTACACCTGCCTGTCTCTCCAGCTTATGTACCAGCCTCTTATGCGGTACTGTGTCAAAGGCTTTCCGACAATCCAAGAAAATGCAGTCCGCCCAGCCCTCTCTTTCTTGCTTAATCTGTGTCACCTGATCGTAGAATTCTATCAAGCCTGTAAGGCAAGATTTACCCTCCCTGAATCCATGTTGGCGATTTGTCACGAAGTCCCTTCTCTCCAGATATGTTACCAGGTTTTTTCTCACGATCCTCTCCATCACCTTGCATGGTATACAAGTCAAGGACACTGGCCTGTAGTTCAGTGCCTCTTGTCTGTCGCCCTTTTTGTATATTGGGACCACATTCGCCGTCTTCCATATTTCTGGTAGGTCTCCCGTCTCTAGTGATTTACTATACACTATGGAGAGTGGCAAGCAAAGTGCCTCTGCACACTCTTTCAGTACCCATGGTGAGATCCCATCTGGACCAACCGCCTTTCTAACATCCAGATCCAGCAGGTGTCTCTTGACCTCCTCTCTCGTAATTTCGAATTCCTCCAAGGCCGCCTGGTTTACCTCCCTTTCTCCTAGCACAGTGACCTCACCCTGTTCTATTGTGAAGACCTCCTGGAACCTCTTGTTGAGTTCCTCACACACCTCTCTGTCATTCTCTGTATACCTGTCCTCGCCTGTTCTAAGTTTCAATACCTGTTCTTTCACTGTTGTTTTCCTTCTGATGTGACTGTGGAGTAGCTTTGATTCGGTCTTGGCTTTGTTTGCTATATCATTTTCAAAAATTTTCTCTGCTTCTCTTCTCACCCTGACGTACTCATTCCTGGTTCTCTGGTATCTCTCCCTGCTTTCTGGTGTTCTGTTATTCCGGAAGTTCCTCCACGCCTTCTTGTTCAGTTTCTTCGCTTCCATACATGCCCTATTATACCATGGATTCTTTTGTTGCTTCTCGGATTTTTCCCTTTGGGCCGGGATGAACCTGTTTACTGCCTCCTGACACTTTTGGGTAACATAGTCCATCATACCCTGTACAGACTTGTCTCTGAGGTCTGTGTCCCAAGGTATTTCACTTAGGAAACTTCTCATCTGTTCATAATTCCCCTTTCGGTATGCCAGCCTTTGATTCCTAGTTCTTTTTGGGGGGAGATAAGTCCTAGCTCTACCAGGTACTCAAAGTTCAATACACTGTGGTCACTCATTCCCAAGGGCGCTTCCATCTTAACTTCCCTTATATCCCATTCATTTAGGGTAAATATCAAATCAAGCATTGCTGGTTCATCTTCTCCTCTCATTCTTGTTGGCTCTTTGGTATGCTGGCTTAGAAAGTTTCTTGTTGCCACGTCCAGCAGCTTAGCTCTCCATGTTTCTGGTCCTCCATGCGGGTCTCTGTTCTTCCAATCTATCTTCCCATGGTTGAAGTCTCCCATAATTAGTAGTCCAGATCCATTCCTGCTAGCAACAGAAGCTGCTCTTTCTATTATGTTAATGGTGGCCATGTTGTTTCTATCATATTCCTGTCTAGGTCTTCTGTCATTTGGTGGTGGATTATATATGACTGCGACTATAATTTTTTTCCCTCCATTTGTTACAGTACCTGCTATGTAGTCACTGAAACCTTCACAGCCCTGAATATCCATCTCCTCAAAATCCCAGCCTTTTCTTACCAGCAGAGCTACACCACCCCCACCTCTTCCTTCCCTCTCTTTCCGCATAACATAATAGTCCTTTGGAAACACTGCATTTGTTATTGTTTTCGTGATCTTTGTTTCTGTGAGGGCTATTATGTCTGGGTTTTCCTCTAGTACCAGTTCTCCAAGCTCATTTGCTTTATTTGTAATTCCATCTATGTTAGTGTACATCGCTTTGAGGCTCACTTTCTTCTGTCCCTTCTCAAATCGCCTCCTTGGTGAGTGTTCTGCTGGTGGGGGAGGCTGTTCCATGGGTGTGAGGACCTGTGAGGTGGGTAACAGGATCTCAGAGGATACTGGAATGAGGGGCGGGGGATCCAGTGAAGGGGGAGGGACAGGGAGGGTATGGGGTGAAAGGGGAGGGAGGACGGGAAGGAAAGGGGGGGAGGGAGGACTCGGGAGGAGGGGAGGGGTAGAAGGGTGGGGATTGGGTGTGGGGGGAGGGAGATTTGGCTGAACTTTTGAGTGGGGGCAGGGAGGGTTTGGGGTAGGGGAGTTTTCTATGCAGAGGAGGGAGGCGGGGTTGTCCTCCCTTCTGGTGTTACTGGGTAGCTGGTTGTGGGTTCCCCCCTCGCCTCTGGGGGTGTTGTGTTGGGAGCTGTGACTTCCTGGTTTTCCCCTCTCGCCTGCGCCTCTGTGTGTGTGTGTGTGTGTGTGTGTGTTCGTCTATTTGTGCCTGCAGGATCGAGCATTGGCTCGTGGATCCCGCCTTGCTAGCCATCAGTTGTTTACAGTAATGACTCCTGTCTCATGTCCCTATCATATCTAGTTTTAAAGTTATGAATAGAGTTTGTGTGTGTGTGTGTGTGTGTGTGTGTGTGTGTGTGTGTGTGTGTGTGTGTGTGTGTGTGAGTGTGTGTGTGTGTGTGTGTGTGTGTGTGTGTGTGTGTGTGTGTGTGTGTGTGTGTGTGTGTGTGTGTGTGTGTGTGTGTGTGTGTGCGTATGCAAAGTGTTTTAGCAATTAAATGCAGTCTCTTGTTCCATTTAGATATGTAAATTAATAGCTTGCTGAAACTGCTAACCATATATATATATATATACCTTAGATATATAGAAAATATGCTTAAGAATTACGAAGCACATAGACCTGTCAGAGAGAGAGAGAGAGAGAGAGAGAGAGAGAGAGAGAGAGAGAGAGAGAGAGACCTACTAACTACTTTACTCTCTCTTCAGCGCCCACGGGAGAAAAGTCGACATCGCCATCTTTCTGGTCGCTACCAAAACTACCATCAAGAAGTCTGTGCAACCAAAAAGTAAGTTATCCCCCACTTTCCACTTACATCCCCCCCCCACTTACACCCCCTTCTCCCATAGCTCCTCCTTCCTTATATGTACCTCGTCCCTTGTCCCATATACCTATTCCCAATCCACTCAACAGTGATAGTGTAAAGTTTCTATCGTGTAAATTGGCTGGTTGAACAGTTAGCTGATGGCAACTTTGATTACTTAATTACTTAACTGCCGAGCTGTGCGAAGCCTCTTCTTGCCTCCAGCGCCAGATGCAGGATTTATCTGGATTTATCAAGATAAATCTCTTGATTTATCTTTGATTTATCATTAGGGAGAGAGAGAAACATAAAGAGAGAAAGAGAAAAGGAGAGAAAGAGAAAAAAAAGAGAAAAAAGATATAAAGATAAAAATAGATAAAAAGAAAATTATATAAAAATACAAAGAGAAAGAGAAAAAGAGAGATGAAAAAAGGTGAGAAAATAAGTGATAGGAAGAGAGAGAGAGGGAGAGAGAGAGAGAGAGAGAGAGAGAGAGAGAGAGAGAGAGAGAGAGAGAGAGAGAGAGAGAGAGAGAGAGAGAGAGAGAGAGAGAGAGAGAGAGAGAGAGAGAGAGAGAGACAGACAGACAGACAGACAGACAGACAGACAGACAGACAGACAGACAGACAGACAGACAGACAGACAGACAGGCAGACAGACAGACAGACAGACAGAGACAGAGAGAGAGACAGAGATTTTCATAGGTTATATAAAAAAAATTAGGTCGCTCCATCGTGTAAAAAATAACATTCCACTTAACAGCCAACCAAAAATCACCGGAAAACCACTAATTAATCTCTGATAGGTCACTACATCATCCATTACGTCATCCATTACGTCATTCATTACGTCATTCATGACGTCATTAATAACGGCAGAAGAGGAAAATTGGCGGGAAAAATATTTGTAGATAATGATTGATTGACAGAGACATGATAGGCAGGTAGGGTGGGTGTTGCCACAGCCGTGACAAACAGACGTGACAGCCACCTAGGGCCAGATTCACGAAGCAGTTACCCAAGCACTTACGAACCTGGGGCCAGATTCACGAAGCAGTTATGCAAGCACTTACGAACCTGGTGCCAGATTTACGAAGCAGTTACCCGAGCACTTACGAAGCTGGGGCCAGATTTACTAAGCAGTTACCCAAGCACTTACGAACCTGGGGCCAGATTCACGAAGTAGTTACGCAAGTACTTACGAACCTGGGGCCAGATTCACGAAGCAGTTACCCAAGCACTTACGAACCTGGGGCCAGATTTACGAAGCAGTTACGCAAGCACTTACGAACCTGGGGCCATATTTACGAAGCAGTTACGCAAGCACTTACGAACCTGGGGCCAGATTTACGAAGCAGTTACCCAAGCACTTACGAACCTGGGCCCAGATTCACGAAGCAGTTACCCAAGCACTTACGAACCTGGGGCCAGATTTACGAAGCAGTTACCCAAGCACTTACGAATCTGGGGCCAGATTTACGAAGCAGTTACCCAAGCACTTACGAACCTGGGGCCAGATTTACGAAGCAGTTACCCAAGCACTTACGAACCTGGGGCCAGATTTACGAAGCAGTTACGCAAGCACTTACGAACCTGTCCATCTTTTCTCAATCTTTGACGGCTTTCTTTACAATTATTAAACAGTTAATGAGCTCCGAAGCACCAGGAGGCTGTTTATAACAATAACAACAGTTGATTGGCAAGTTTTCATGCTTGTAAACTGTTTAATAAATGTAACCAAAGCCGTCAAAGACTGAGGAAAGATGCACACGTTCGTAAGTGCTTGCGTAACTGCTTCGTGAATCTGGCCCCAGGTTCGTAAGTGCTTGCATAACAGCTTCGTGAATCTGGCCCCAGGTTCGTAAGTAATTGCGTAAGTGCATCGTGAATCTTGCCCCAGGTTCGTAAGTGCTTGCGTAACTGCTTCGTGAATCTGGTCCCAGGTTCGTAAGTACTTGCGTAACTGCTTCGTGAATCTGGCCCCAGGTTCGTAAGTGCTTCATAAATCTGGCCCCAGGTTCGTAAGTACTGGCGTAACTACTTCGTGAATCTGGCCCAAGGTTCGTAAGTGCTTTGTGAATCTGGCCTCAGGTTCGTAAGTACTTGCGTAACTACTTCGTGAATCTGGCCCCAGGTTTGTAAGTGCTTCGTGAATCTGGTCCCAGGTTCGTAAGTACTTGCGTAACTGCTTCGTGAATCTGGCCCCAGGTTCGCAAGTGCTTCGTGAATCTGGCCCCAGGTTCGCAAGTGCTTCGTGAATCTGGCCCCAGGTTCGCAAGTGCTTCGTGAATCTGGCCCCAGGTTCGTAAGTGCTTCATAAATCAGGCCCCAGGTTCGTAAGTGCTTCATAAATCAGGCCCCAGGTTCGTAAGTGCTTCATAAATCAGGCCCCAGGTTCGTCAGTGCTTGCGTAACTACTTCGTGAATCAGGCCCCAGGTTCGTAAGTGCTTGCGTAACTACTTCGTGAATCAGGCCCCAGGTTCGTCAGTGCTTGCGTAACTACTTCGTGAATCAGGCCCCAGGTTCGTCAGTGCTTGCGTAACTACTTCGTGAATCAGGCCCCAGGAGGGGAGCACTGAGCCTAGTATCCTCGTGTCCTCAGGGGCTGGCGGGAACTACACGAAGCGGTAGACGTGGACGGGAACGAAGTAGTCATCGTGAACTCCATCGGCGGGCAGAACCAGACCTACTACAGCTACGACTGCGTCTCCCCCTGCACCGCTTGCAAAGGTGAGCCCTCACAGTTCACTACGGGCTCACCATAGCCCGTGCTACTTGGAACTTTTTGTTCCAGGTAGCGAATCTTAAATAACAACAAAAGGTGAGCCCTCTTCCTGAATTTACCTTATTGGACACTGTCTCTCTCTAGTGGTCTCGATAAGGACACGGAGACCCGTCAATGGAGGATCTTTGTTGACCAGACCACACACTAGAAGGTGAAGGGACGACGACGTTTTGGTCCGTCCTGGATCATTTTCAAGTCGATTGTGAATGGGGTCTGGTCAATACATACTAGAAGGTGAAGGGACGACGACGTTTCGGTCCGTCCTGGACCATTTTCAAGTCGATTGTGAATGGGGTCTGGTCAATACATACTAGAAGGTGAAGGGACGACGACGTTTTGGTCCGTCCTGGACCATTTTCAAGTCGATTGTGAATGGGGTCTGGTCAATACATACTAGAAGGTGAAGGGACGACGACGTTTTGGTCCGTCCTGGACCATTCTCAAGTCGAGGATCATTATTTTCTTTGTTTTGACCGTTGTTTTGATCATTCTAGTACTCTGCTATTTATTCCATGTTCTCTAAGAAAGACTGGGAAGAAAATTAGAAGCCTAAGTAGACATAATTCTTCCGTCATTTGTTGACTAGACCACACACTAGAAGGTGAAGGGACGACGACGACGTTTCGGTCCGTCCTGGACCATTCTCAAGTCGACTTGTAAACAGTCATTCTCTTCCGTCATTTCCTTTACGATTTTGAATTGATTTCATCTATATTCTTTTAATTTCTCAATGTTGTTTCTGATTATTTTGCGCATTATAGGAATATCCCTTAATGTGTTCTCCCCCCCCCCCCTTGTTTCAAACATTTGTGTAGGTGCTGGAATGTTAACCAATGTTGTGTGAACAATGATGTATTTACAGAGAATGTTGAATGACTTTTGGTCGTAAGTTATAACTTGCTCTCATCTTTTAAGTGTCCCTACAGAGTCTATTCAAGTTCAAGTATGTTTATTGAGACAAGAAAGAAATACATCTAAAAGGGATAGAGTAGCTTAGGCTCACACAGAGATCACACTAACGTGATGCATCAAACTTTACCCTGTCGTAGCTCAGTCGATTAAGGCAGTGTCTGGGATGCTCCCAGACGCAGGTTCGAATCCTCATCACTGCCCTTGTGGATTTGTTCATTACCTTAGGCTATTTCTACACCCCTTACAGGGTATATTGTCTTAGTTCTACTTCTTATGCAAGCATAACAAGACTTTGGATCTGTCTCAATGTTTTGGCCACGTTCATGGTTTCTTTTGGCTGGTCTGATTTCCTGGGGTGGCTGAATTTAATGATTTTTTTGAATATGTGATTCCTGAGGGGACTGGAGCTTCTTCCAGACCTCACCTTACATCTTGACCCCTCACCTTACATCTTGACCCCTCACCTTACATCTTGACCCCTCACCTTACATCTTGACCCCTCACCTTACATCTTGACCCCTGAATAACAGTCATATTCCTGGTTCCACATATCCATGTTTCAACTTGCTTGAGTATACTCCTAATATACCAACATATCCTCCAAAAATCATATTATAGGAACTACTGATCACACATACAAAAGTCGAATGTTTTACCCTAAAAAGTTGACATTTTTGTGCTGTTTAAAACACTGCAAATAGTAAGCTAAGCTGTCATACTGTTTCTATGGAACCTGTCTTGGGCGTAAATAAACTGCTATAGGCTTAATATATATATATACACCATCTTAGGCCTAATTTACCCCAGACGTGTGCTTTTCTAGGCCAATGGCTGTTTAGGCCTGGTTCTTGTGCCCTTCTCTCTCTCTCTTGCCCCACTTCAAAGCTGATTGATCACAAGGGGGAACTTTTTTGAGTGGTACGACTGTCCATTTTGGAATATACTCTCGCATGTATACACCTGTATACACATATACACACCTGTATACACACATACAAACCTGTATACACACATACAAACCTATATACACACTTGTAGACACCCACCCACACACGTATTCACCACCTGTATGCCATACCATCCCCTTGACGAGGCCCCTAAGAGGCTATTGCACACGTGTCATGCTCTCTACAACACATGTGTCTGCCGGCAGGTGTGATGGGGTACTCCATGTGTAAGATGCGCTACACCTACGTCAAGATGTACTACCACCTCAGGTATGGAAGACGCTCCAGTGAGCCCAGGTGGGACTTCGTCGAAGTCCCTTCACATTGTGCCTGTGAGCTCGTCCCAGAGAATGCTATCGACGCTGATTGTCCGCAGAACAGGTGGGTGATTGGGTAGTTAGTGGGTGTTTGGGGGTAGTTAGAGGGTGTTTGGGGGTAGTTAGAGGGTGTTTGGGGGTAGTTAGTGGGTGTTTTGGGGTAGTTAGAGGGTGTTTGGGGGTAGTTAGTGGGTGTTTGGGGGTAGTTAGAGGGTGTTTGGGGGTAGTTAGAGGGTGTTTGGGGGGTAGTTAGTGGGTGTTTGGGGGTAGTTAGAGGGTGTTTGGGGGTAGTTAGTGGGTGTTTTGGTGTAGTTAGTGGGTGTTTGGGGTAGTTAGAGGGTGTTTGGGGGTAGTTAGAGAGTGTTTGGGGGTAGTTAGAGGGTGTTTTGGGGGTACTTAGTGGGTGTTTGGGGTAGTTAGAGGATGTTTGGGGGTAGTTAGAGGGTGTTTGGGGGTAGTTAGCGGGTGTTTTGGGGTAGTTAGTGGGTGTTGGAAAGTAGTTGGTGTTAGGGGGCATTTGGTGGCGTGTATAAAGTTCTTGGTGAGTGTATAAAGGTATTTGTGGGTGTATTAAGATGTTGATGGGTGTACAAGGGTGTAGAAACTTACCTTGAATATTGGTGTTGTTATTATCCTTTGTTCCTTGTTTTACGTAATTTTTCCAGACTCTCATTTGTTTCACACTCTCATTTTATTCAGACTCTCATTTGTTTCCTTCGGGTTTACGACACTTTCTGTTTACCTCCGACTCCCTCTTGAGAGGGATGGACAGCCCCGTTGCCTCTATAATAAATTCCATCATCTCATTTACTCTCTTCCCATTGGATTTCCCGCAGAAAGTCCATCTTACTGTAGTCCCCACGTCTGTAAATCCCTCTCCTTCTTCTTCAAAAGATTTCTTTGTGGAACTAACTCCCTGAGCTCCACTATGGAGTCAAGCGTGATAATGCACTAGTCACTGCTAGAGGAATCTCGTTTTCTATTTTGTCATCGTCTGCCTCACTTTGCTGATTGGATTCTGTTCTGTTTATTTAGATTTAGATTTAGATTTTGATTCAGGTAAAGGTACATACATTGTGAAGTGGAGTTACAAACATAATGTTGGAATTTAAAGATATAGTACATACAGTACCTAAAGCCACTAGTACGCATAGCGTTTCGGGCAATTTTTTCGTATCTTGCTTGGTGGTGTAAATATGCTGGTTTAAGAAGAGTGTGTTTGTCATGTCTACCAATTTTGCTCTCTGTGTCTCATCACTCCTGTGAGGGGGGGGAGGGAAGACATATATATTTTCAGTCTATTTAGTGTTAGTCTATTTAATGATAGAAAATACACTAGTTACTCCTCACTCCCTTTGTCACTCTGGCTGCGTTTTCTGTCACCTTTAGCTAATTCTGTCGTTGACTTTCAGTGATATACTATACACTATGGAGAGTGGCAAGCAAAGTGTTTCTGCACACTCTTTCAATACCCATGGTGAGATCCCGTCCGGGCCAACAGCCTTTCTCACGTCCAGCTCCAACAGGTGCTTCTTGACCTCATCTCTTGTAATTTCGAACCCTTCCAAGGCCGCCTGGTTTACAACCCACCTCTCCTAGCGCAGTGACCTCACCATGTTCTATTGTGAAGACCTCCTGGTCTGTGTGTGTGTGTACTCACCTATTTGTGCTTGCGGGGGTTGAGCTCTGGCTCTTTGGTCCTGCCTCTCAACTGTGTGTGTGTGTGTGTACTCACCTATTTGTGCTTGTGGGGGTTGAGCTCTGGCTCTTTGGTCCCGCCTCTCAACTGTGTGTGTGTGTGTGTGTGTATTCACCTATTTGTGCTTGCGGGGGTTGAGCTCTGGCTCTTTGGTCCTGCCTCTCAACTGTGTGTGTGTGCGTGTGTGTATTCACCTATTTGTGCTTTCGGGGGTTGAGCTCTGGCTCTTTGGTCCCGCCTCTCAACTGTGTGTGTTTGTCCAGATCACCAGTACTGACAGACCCTCTCTCTCTCCCCCCACAGACAGTGAGTTACTACAGCGACCCCCGAAACTAATTACCCCCCAGCAGCCGGTTCTCCCCCCCCTTTCCCCTCCCCCTCCACCACCACACCTCCTCTCCTATGCCCCCCTTCCCCCTACCCCCATCCCCCGCCCCCCTCATCGAATGCTCGGGCCAGTCCATCTCAGCCCCGCCAAGCGTCGCCCTCTCCAAGGAACCATCGTTTATTTCTCCATCCCCCGACCACGCTGGACATCACCCTGTCAAGGAGAGTCAAGCAGACTATCGCGCCGTCAAGGAGAGTCAAGCAGACTATCGCGCCGTCAAGGAGAGTCAAGCAGATAATCGCCCCGTCAAGGAGAGTCAAGCTGACTATCGCCCCGTCAAGGAGAGTCAAACTGACTATCGCCCCGTCAAGGAGAGTCAAGCTGACTATCGCCCCGTCAAGAAGAGTCAAACAGACTATCGCCCCGTCAAGGAGAGTCAAACAGACTATCGCCCCGTCAAGGAGAGTCAAACTGACTATCGCCCCGTCAAGGAGAGTCAAGCAGGCTGTCACCTCCGTCAAGAATAGTCAAGCAGACTATCGCGCCGTCAAGGAGAGTCAAGCAGACTATCGCCCCGTCAAGGAGAGTCAAGCAGACTATCGCCCCGTCAAGGAGAGTCAAGCTGACTATCGCCCCGTCAAGGAGAGTCAAGCAGGCTGTTGCGCCGTCAAGGAGAGTCAAGCAGGCTGTCGCGCCGTCAAGGAGAGTCAAGCAGGCTGTCACCTCCGTCAAGAATAGTCAAGCAGACTATCGCGCCGTCAAGGAGAGTCAAGCAGACTATCGCGCCGTCAAGGAGAGTCAAACTGACTATCGCCCCGTCAAGGAGAGTCAAGCAGGCTGTCACCTCCGTCAAGAATAGTTAAGCAGGCTGTCACGCCGTCAAGGACCGTAAAAAAAGGAGAGAGTCAGTAAAAGCCATAATTAGGATTCGAACCTGCACCCTGGGTACATCCCAAGCATACGCCCAAAACTACTCAGCCACGAGTTGTTTTGAATATATCACGTTGATACATCACGTTAATGGGAATATTTCACGTTGATACATCACGTTATAATGGCATTTGTTTGTGCATAGCAAAGCAATCTAGCGTCCTGGCAAGAATAGTCAACGAGGCTGTCTCCCTAGTTAAGGATAGTCAACGAGGCTGTCACGCTACTAAGAAGAGTACAGGACATCAAAGTTTACCGCCATCCGGGCTACCTACCATCCACGATATCTACCATCAAATTCAGGAGAGTCAAATATTTTGGAAAGTCCCTGGACGCTGGGTCAAGTCCCTGGGCGCTGGGTCAAGTCCCTGGGCGCTGGGTCAAGTCCCTGGACGCTGTGCCAAGAGAAGCTCCAGCTTTGACTCTCCACTCAAGGAGAGTCAAAGCAAGCTTCCACGTCTAAGTATAGTCCATCCAACTGTGACTACGTCATGAAGGCGGAGACATCAATGGGGACTTGAGGTTACTTTGTCAAGGATAATCAAGAATTCTAATATGTAAAGAATACTTAAGAAGATTAATACTCCATTAAGAATACTCAAGAGGACTGCTACTCCACCCAGGAGAGAGAGTAGCAAGTTGTCATACCACCAAGGCCAACCAAACATGTTTAAGGAACCACAAACAAAAGTCCATCTCGTTAAGGACAGTCGAGAATACGTCCATCTCATTAAGGACAGTCGAGCAAACGTCCATCTCATTAAGGACAGTAGAGCATACGTCCATCTCGTTAAGTACAGTCGAGCATACGTCCATTTCGTTAAACAATCAAGTAGACTACCACGCCATCAAGATGAATGCTGACTACTGATCCTGCTGTCAGTCAGAGTCATATATATAGCCAAGCTTAACTGTCACCAATACTCATGCATGGATCCTGTCAGAAGAGCAACACAGCAAGCTTATCTGACTGCTCCGTGTGGCTGTGTCGACCGACATTATAACTATGGACAGCGCGTCTCCCGTCTAGACACATACGGATAAGTTTTCGCGCCCATCCAAACATCCGTCAACACTCAGGTATTGCGAGGTGCTGAGAGCTCCGTAATCAGATACGTCAGTCAGAAAAGGAGGATCGCAGCCAATCAGCAAAGTCCATTGACGTGCACCCAGACAATCGAATCGGGCGGTCCACGGGGACATGCACGTAGCCTAAGGGGTACTCAGGAGTCAGTTTGAAAGGTCAGCCAATCAGAACGCGAATCGAATACGGGACAAACACACACACACAGCCAATCACGACAGGCAGCTGCAAATGTAGTGTCACCACGCGTACCACTGGGAACCACTCGGCAACATAAGGAGGCCGGCAATACGAAAGGTAGAAAGAAGTTTGCGTATAATGTGAAGCAGAAGAGTACCTGAGCGGAGGAGCGCGGGAAGTTGATACGAGCAAGCAACGTTCTACTCTTCTTCTATCTCTCTCTCAGTTACCCCTTCATCCTCTTCTAGATCCATTCTCTTATATTTTCCTCTAAATAAAATGAGTCACATTCTTATGGTTTTATTTCCCATCTAAGTCTTCTCTCCTTACTCCGACAACCATCGTCGTCCCCCTGCAACCAACACCCCCTACAATTGTCCTTAATTATCCCCCACAATCACCACCATCCTTCACAATCAAACCCACACAATCATTCCCCACAAATGACGAAGGCTGCCAAAGGTCACTTGCACCTTCACAATAAACATTGTATACATCGAAATTCTAATACAAAACGCAAGAATAAAATCCCAAAAATGCCAATAAAGATATAATTATGAAACAAAACGAGAAAAATATCAACTGTGCAGCCTAATAGCGGAAATCTTACTTTTTTTAAAGCCTAATAAATTATAATCAATCAAAATACCAAACAAGTCCCCAAATAATTATTTATTTATTTATTTATATAAAAGAAGGTACATTGGGATTGTGAGGATACATAGCATAGTAATTACACTCTTGTAAAGCCACTAGTACACGCAGCATTTCGGGCAGGTCCTTAATCTAAGAAACTTAGATAACTGAAATACAGTATAGATAACTGTTAACCATAGCAGATACAAATAATCAAATTATCAATTAAAACAATACAGTAAGACAACGGACCTGCAGACCAGTAAATAATGAAGAAGATACCATTATACACAATTCAAATACATTATTGTATGGAACACAGTAACATGGAACTAAACAGCAACAATACGAAGGCATTAAACACGTTTCCAAAGACAAACAGAAGTATATTACAAAGTCGACACGAATAATACAAATCAATACAAGACCTATACAAGTCAAAAGATTTGTATAAGACTTGTAATAGGTGCTCATTAAGCACCTATACAAATCAATACAAGATCTATACAAGGCAAAACAAGACCTATACAAGTCAAAACAAGACCTATACAAGTCAAAACAAAACCTATACAAGTCAAAACAAGACCTATACAAGTCAAAAGATTTGTATAAGACTTGTAATAGGTGCTCATTAAACACCTATACAAGTCAAAACAAGACCTATACAAGTCAAAACAAGACCTATACAAGTCAAAACAAGACCTATACAAGTCAAAACAAGACCTATACAAGTCAAAACAAGACCTATACAAGTCAAAAGATTTGTATAAGACTTGTAATAGGTGCTCATTAAACACCTATACAAATCAATACAAGACTTATACAAGTCAAAACAAGACCTACACAAATCAAAACAAGACCTATACAAGTCAAAACAAAACCTATACAAATCAAAACAAGACCTACACAAGTCAAAACAAGACCTATACAAGTCAAAACAAGACCTGTACAAGTCAAAACAAAACCTATACAAATCAAAACAAGACCTACACAAGTCAAAACAAGACCTATACAAGTCAAAACAAGATCTATACAAATCAAACCAAGATCTATACAAAAATAAAACAAGCTGGTCACCACACTTCCACACCCCAGCCCGGCGTAGAGCAATTACCAGTGTGGTCAACAAAGGCTTAAGTTCCACCCTACAATGATGATCACATAAAAAATAAAGTTACAAAACATCACAATACTTTTTTTTTCCTTCTCGTGTGAAAATCTCACCAAAATACCGCACTACGGTCACACGTTGATTGGTTCCAGTTGAGAGGCGGGACCAAAGAGCCAAAGCTCAACCCCCGCAAACACAACTAGGTGAATACACGCAAATGCATACCAAGCCCGAAACTTAGTATGCCCGTACTTAGTACTGCCCGAAACGCTTTGCGTAATAGTGGCTTTAGGCATTGTATGTACTAGCTCTATCTATAAAGCCAACAAACTTTGTAAAATCTCTTTATGTATGTACCTTACCTAAATAAATATTATTATTATTATTATTATAAGACGCACATCAATCCTAACACACATTGTCACACTGTTGCAAAAATACCAGAATGCAATCTGTGGAGGAAAAGGCACCAATCAGAACGCTGGCTTCTCACACCCACAATGCAACAGTCACGATTCCTATTCAGCAATAAAGACACTCAGCGCATTTATTCCGTCCACACTGCACTCAGGCACCTTGTAAACCCAGCCTGTAGCCACTGTAGAGTACAGTATACTCAGTATACCGCAGCCCGCTAGCCAGGTAAGCTAACTAGCCCGTTCTCATAAAGAAAGGCCAAAGTCCATTCCATACAGCCGCCAAACCCCCCTTGTTTATGGTTGAAAAGCTGTTTACGCCAACCCGTCATATCTTCATTGGTGCCTTCTTTTGATAATTACTTACTAGGCAACCGGCTCTCTCTGGAACATCTGGGTCAGGACTTATTAAGCATTTGACTAGCAACTTGACAGTCATTTCAAGACTAACAACTTGAAAACCTGTACAGACTTTTCTTCAATCATGACGGCTTAATTTGTATTTATTAAGCAGCTTCGTAACCCTTACAGCTCAACGTTATTATTGTAGATCGCCTCATAACGCCTCGGAGCTCATAACTAAGGGGTGAGGTAAGGAGGAAGGGAGGAGGAGGAAGAGGTGAAGAAGGAGACAGCAGAGAACAGAGTTAATAATGAGAGTGTGATGGCGGCAGGTCTCTTGGGCCCGCACACAGCACTCTCCGCCGACTGCTACACTCCTAATTACTCATTACACTGGTGTGTGGGAGCGGCCAACGTCTATCCATACCAAACAACACAGAATAGACTATCCCTACCGGCCAACACAGAATAGGCTATCCCTACCAGACAACACAGAATAGGCTATCCCTACCAGACACCATAGAATAGGCTATCCTGACCACACAACACAGAATAGGCTATCCCTACCAGACAACACAGAATAGGCTATCCCTACCACACAACACAGAATAGACTATCCCTACCACACAACACAGAATAGGCTATCCACACCACGCTACAGAAGCCCAAACCTCTACCACAGGGCTCACCATCCTGGGAATCAGTGATCCTATGGTCGTACTGACCAAATAAGACACACACACACACACACACACCTTCAGCTGAAGTATTTCAGCAAAGCAACGACAAACTTGGTTTTCTGTTTTTCAACTTTAAAGTGTATCTTAACAGCAAAAGTTAGCCAGCAAACTGAGAAATTCCTCCAGCCCCTCGCCTCACTTAATGGTAGACGTCGAGAGATATATATACAATATATATTTGTTAACCCTGTAAGTTAATTCTTGGGGAAAGACACAGATTAAAACATGTTGTTAGTGAATATATATACACAGAGGTGTAGGCTACTGAATGCATATATATATTGATGACAGTGTCAAACCACGAAGGAAGAATTGATACAGGAATTTCCTTAAGTACTTTCGCATTTAATAATACATCTTCAGAAGGGTGAAGGGTAATACATCTTCTTCACCCTTCTGAAGATGTATTATTGAATACGAAAGCACGTAAGGATATTCCTGTTTCAATTCTTCCTTCGTGGTCTGACACTGTCACATTTTCCATCATGTGTTAATTTCCGTGATTTACACACACACACACATATTGATATATCCCAAACAAAACTATAATTATTAACTACGTTTCCCTGACTTGCAACATATATACACATTATTGCAACAAGGCGCCTGGTGGGTTAGACCACTGTGAAGTCAGAATATGTTGGGCACTTGTTCCGCTAGAGAGACGTGGGCGGTGTGAAGGCCAGACGGCGTCCCTCATAGGATTAGCAAGAGCCTCTCAGTGTCAACAGGATCAAGACCTATCCTTGGGATCATCACCTTACACCGTAATTTCTCTCTCTCTCTCTCTCTCTCTCTCTCTCTCTCTCTCTCTCTCTCTCTCTCTCTCTCTCTCTCTCTCTCTCTCTCTCTCTCTCTCTCTCTCTCTCTCCCCCAGGGCATACAATTACTCGTTTCTCGAAATTTGCCCGAAACGCTATGCGTACTTTAGGCATTTACTTTAGGCATTTAGGTACTTTAGGCGTAAGGCTTTAGGCATTGTACTAGCTCTATCTTTAAATTCTAACACTATGTTTGTAACTCATATTCAATGTATGTACCTTACCTGAATAAAAAATCTAAATCTAAAATCTAAATATATGGAAATAACCCTTTTTGAATCCCACTCATAAATTATAATCGCTATTTATCTTATTTAAATTGTTAATTTAATCAAGGCACTTATATACAGTTTTTAGAGAGGATTGGTTACGTTTAATGTACGTAGTGTTATTATAAAATCCCCAAATTTATTCATTGATGACTAAACAATACATCGAAATTGGAAGAAACAGCGACGTTTCGGTCCTCCTGGACCATTATTAAGTCGTGTGATAACAGACCTATTGAACAGTTTGTATTTAATCGACAATCGACTTGAGAATGGTCCAGGACGGACCGAAACGTCGTCGTCCCTTCACTTTCTAGTATGTGGTCTGGTCAACATACTTCAGCCACGTTATTGTGAATACGTCTACAGTTTATATTTAACAAACGTTATTGACATAAACCTAAAACCTGATGTCTGTCGTGATGTTAATAACATATTCCTGCAGGTAACTTATACTGAGCATGTGTATACTGAGCATGTGTGTTACACCTTAAGCGAAATTTCATGCTAAGTTCCACTTATATGATGGACAGTGAAGGTACACTGCCTTCATGAGTAGATGTAATAGTCTGGAAAAGGATAGGTTTGTTTGATAACAATCTGTTCCAGACTGTTTGATAACAGTCTGGAAAAGGATTTAAAAGGAAAGGAAAAGGCTTTCACGCTGCAGCCTACACTAATGGAACCAATATTAAAAAAATGGCCAAATACTAGTAGTTTCGGCCAGCCAATTTCCACCAATTTCATGGAGAAATGTCACTAATGGACCCGACTCAATAATTAATTTGAAATATTACTAAATATTTCAAATTAACCCTTGCAATATGAAGCTTTGGATTTTAAAATAATATTGTCTTCTCTTGTTAGCTTTAATTATCGCTATACCAAACTTTATATCACTTGCTCAACTTCTGAAACTTCACTTTTTACACACACACACACACATATATATATATATATATATATATATATATATATATATATATACATACATACATACATACATACATACATACATACATACATACATATACATTATTAAATATGACCGAAAAAGTAAGATTAATAATTCTAACACGAATTTTCTCAATCTTTCGTACATTTCTTTTCACTGTTGGTGGTAATTCAAAAATCAATTCTCCAAAATTCATTTTTATTTTTATTTTATATATGTACATACATATACATATATAACTTGTATCTCACAGTATTATTACCCTAGTCTAACATATACAAACCAAACACATAAATCTTAAAGCTTTACGGAAACTATGTGATTAGTGACTTTATATAAAATATTAATCAAAACAAAGTTAACATTGTAATCAGACCTGTAATATTTTGTATAAATGAAATATTATATATTATAATACATTTCTTCGACTCAATTACATATCGAGATACCAATGAAAATTTATCTTACCTCCTCTCAATTTAAACAGGATTTCATTTTTCACCTTGTCTATTTCCCTTAGTACTTTATCAGGTTCCCTCGTATGGAGAGAGAGAGAGAGAGAGAGAGAGAGAGAGAGAGAGAGAGAGAGAGAGAGAGAGAGAGAGAGAGAGAGAGAGAGAGAGAGAGAGAGAGAGAGAGAGAGAGAGAGAGAGAGAGAGAGAGAGGGTCGGGGTCGGAAGGAGGGATAGTGAGAGAGAGGGAGAGAGAGAGAGGGAGAGAGAGAGGGAAGAGTAGGAGTGTTTACCCTCCCCGGGTACTAAGCCGCCACACGCCGGCCTCCATATGGTTAATGTATATTGTGTTAAGTCCCTTCATGACCCGCCTACACCACCCACACGTCTACCCACGCCACCACCCACACTACCCGCACCACCACCACCCACACTACCCGCACCACCACCACCCACACTACCCGCACCACCCGAGTATAGGGAGCACAACACTAAGCCACCACCACAGTGTAGACCAGGATGGGTGTAGAATGCATTAGGCAGTGATGTGGTGGAGGCTGACTCCATACACAGATATGATGTAGATCTCAAATGTAGATTATGATAGAGCCCAGTAGGCTCAGGCACCTGTACACCAGTTGATTGACAGTTGAGAGGCGGGACCAAAGAGCCAGAGCTCAACCCCCGCAAGCACAATTAGGTGAGTACTTGTGGCTTTATTGATCAAATAATTACAGTGTAATGATATCCTGCAATAAAACAAGTCATATTCAGTTCCCGTGGCGTAGTGGTAAGACACTCGCCTGGCGTTTCGCGAGCGCTTTGTCCTGGGTTCGTATCCTGGCCGGGGAGGATTGACTGGGCGCCAGTCCTTAACTGTAGCCTCTGTTTACCCAACAGTAAAATGGATACCTGGTTGTTAAATGATTGGCGGGTCGTATTCCATGGAATATTAGGATTAAGGACCTGCCTGAAACGCTATACGTGCTAATGGCTGTTCAAGAATATAAGAACTCTTGTATAAATTATTAAAAATATACTAATTAATACACATAAACATACAGTTTAAGCACCGTATATAATAAGCAGTTTAACAATAAACAAATAGTTGTAACAAAAGGCAATAACATTCTATATTGTATGTTATTCATACAATAACAATAAGCAATGAAAGTAGTTCCTGACGCAGACATTCAGCTAGAAATTATATTTTACCTGAAGACAAGCTCGACCCGGCTGACCCAATGATCAACGCAATAATTCAAAATTCAGGTAAAATACATACACACAAGGTGTGATATAAACATTGATAGATTTATAGATAGAGCTAGTACATACAATGCATAAAGCCACTATTACGCAAAGCGTTTCGGGCATAATGGTCTCGTGAGCGTCCGGTCGATATGATATTAGCTCCAAACCCAATACGGGGGCTACGTATGTATGACATTTATAAACTACAACCCTCTTAGCTGAGGGAAGTAAGAACATGTATGTAGCGAGCATGTCTCTCGGTGAAGGGAGAAATAACAAATTCAAATTCAAAATTTTTATTCAGGTAAAAGTACATACATAGAAGATGAGTTACAAACATAATGTTGGGATTTATAGATAGAGCTAGTACATACAATAGCTAAAGCCACTAATACGCACAGCGTTTCGGGCAAAATTGTTTCTGCGTTTGTATCTAGCCAAGTTCCCGCCATGACAGCAAATGTGTTAATTATTTCTTATATCATCAAAAATACCACGAAAATTAACAGTAAATATCATTTCACGGCTTAAAATCGAATATCTATATTTTTTCTTAATATTTCTATAAAAGCTAAGTATATAACATACAATATTAAAGGAACAGTCAAATGAGCGTTTCCTTCATGTAAACAACAATAATGAGAATAAAATGGCCTCCAGCGCTCTGTCTGTAGCATTAACGTTGTTTATTTGCCATTTGACCATTGGTAAGTTGATATTTGAGAACAGTGTCTTTTGATATTTGCATGTAGACCTTAGATCAAATGTTATAGTGGCGTACGATGCCTATATAAGTGTGAATGCGGGTGAAAGACTGGACTACAAGCAGAGCTTAACTTTGGTTCAGAGTTCTGTCGTGTTTCTATTTTAGTTGAATTAGTTTATTATTTACCTATGATCCATCCTGCGAATGGAGGCGAGGAGGTCGGCTTGCGGAGGTACATAATGGCTTTAGGAACGGGATCCTAGAACTCTTTGTGGACCGTAATTTGTATATATGGGCCAGAACAAATTGAAACTATGGTACTTGAAGTGGTCTAGTTATTTATAAGTTCTTCGTAACTTCACTAAATGCAAGTTCATCAAAAGTAATTAGGAACCTAAGCCTGGGCTTATGTAACAGGTCTATCTAAAGCTTGACTTAAGCTAAAGACCTGCCCGAAACACTGTGCATACTGGTGGCTTTACAAGAATGTAAACAAATCATACTATATACTCTCATAAACCCAATGTAACTTCTTGTATATACAGTGGCACCTTGATTAACGAGTTTAATCCGTTCCGGCACCGAGCTCGTCATGTGGAAAACTCATCTTGCGAAACAACAACAAAACTGTCATAAAAGGTGTCTGAGAACCAGCGGAAACACTCGTTAATCGAGGAAAAGCTCATCAGTAGAGACAACTGTTCTGCAAGTGGCTTGCTCGATACTTGAAATGCTCGTAGATAGAGCTGCTCATTAATTGAGATGCCACTGTATGTAAATAAATAATGCCTGATTAACCTAAGATCCCCCATTAGCCATCATTACTAGTGGCTATGGCAGGGTTCCCCATCTATTTTAGAGGGAGTTTTCCAGGTGTATTATAATTGTTGAGCAGTCTATCCTAGCTCCATTTACTCCTGTCTCGTTTTCCTGTCTACTGTCCACATTGCTCTCTGTCTCCCTGACTTCAGATATGTTCCCCGAGCTTTATTTCACCATTTGCATTGTCCTATAATAAATTGTAATGTTATATATCGTCAGAAAAATAAATATGTAAACTTTATAAAAAAAGAAAATTCATGAAAATTTATGGAGTAGAGGCATTGCTTTTCAAGTTTTATGTCCTAAGCTATGTATGATGTTGGTCCAAGTATTTTTAAATGTTACTGTGTATGTTTGTGTCTATTTCCTAAAAGTATTCACACACACACGATGTCAATCATTTATTTATTACACTTTGTGACATATTTCCTTAAAGTATTAACACAAACACGATGTCATTTATTTATTTCACATTATGTGACAGTTGTGTGTATGTGTGTGCTCACCTCTGTGATATTTATACAGCAGGTGCCGTGTCCACGCTTGCTAGTGCTAGGTAAGTTCCAAACTCATAATTTGTGGTGCTGTACATGTAGCAAATGAACATTTCTGCTAAGAATTTGTGCGTGCGTGTGTGTGTTCTAAATGACACTGAACTCACTGCTTAGCTCTGGTAAATGCACCTCTTGTTTGATGGCTTTTTGCACCATTTGTTTTTCATGGTCCTTGTGCAACCACTGCACATAGAGGTTTTAATTTTAGGGTAGAAAGGAGCAACCTTATGCTTATGTGATACTTCTTGATACCTGCTTGATAGGGTTCTGGGAGTTGTTCTACTCCTCAAGCCCGGCCCGAGGCCAGGCTTGACTTGTGAGAGTTTGGTCCACCAGGCTGTTGCTTGGAGCGACCAGCAGGCCCACATACCCACCACAGCCCGGTTGGTCCGGCACTCCTTGGAGGAAACAATCTAGTTTCCTCTTGAAGATGTCCACGGTTGTTCCAGCAATATTTCTTATGCTTAAATATATACACTACCATAATCAGCTGTTCCTCTTACATTATCTATAGCTGTCATATATTCTGATAATGGTATAACCTTTTTTCATATCTGTTAGGTTTTGTTTTGAAAACAAGAGATGGTATCACTGTGTGAGGCTCCTGTCCCCTGGTCTACACACAATTTAAGAAATTCAGTTGACTTTCAGAGCTGATGTGATGCTGCACGCATTTATTTGGATTTATTACCCACCAATTGAAAATGCAGTCACAGTGTGCAAAGAGTTTATTGCACAGCATATCTTCTATTTTCAAATTATAGCAATTATGGAATACTTATGGATATAAAGATTTGTCAAATGTACGAAATTTTTGCATGGTCTTCAGAGAAAGTAAGAATGTTACAGTAGAGTTACTGATCAGTTTGCTCATAAGCCAAGAAGAATAACATTGAACTACTGTACGTTTAAAATGGTGAGCTAAAATATTATTTTGGTACTACTTCCAATTGTATATGTTAAATGGATAAATAAATTGTTTTTATTAATATTCATACTTTAGCTTCGTTAAAGTGCTTAACAGTGTCAGTTGCTTACCCCTAGCAGTTTTCACGACACTACTGTTAGTCATATTTGCATGTCTGAACGCAAATTGTATTTGCCAGATTATCAAGGGTATTCTCTATTTTATTTTTCTGTTCTGTGAATTCCTCAACCATTGCATCTGGAAGCTCGTATATTAGAATAATAACTAAAATTATTTTCTCTATTTCTACTCGCAGTACGTCTACCACCTCATGTGTAGACTTAAGGAGTTCCGAGCATACAAGGTCCTCTCTAATATGCAAACGTACTCCTCCATGTGATCTATTTGTCCTATCACATCTATATAGATTATGTTCTGGTATCCAGATCTCGCTGTCCATAAATTCCCCTGCATAGGGTTTCTGAGAAAGTTCCAAATACTGTACTGCATTTGCCTCTGTGAGGAGGCCATTTATGAATAGTACTTCATTTGTAATTTTTTTTTAGTCCTTGTATGTTAGGAAAGATGAATTAGGTTACTCTAGTGTATTTTGACTAGGAGGTTTTTCAGGCAGGTCCATTATGCGTGGGCATATCAAATTTGTTCTGAGCAGTACTGATTGTTGCAGTGTTGTTACCTGTTGTAACTGTAGCTCTGTTGTGGGGTGTAATTATCCCTGTGATTCTGGTATGCAAATGGTTCTTCAAGCCAGTTCCAATACCATATATTCCCCCTGTTCTACTGTCTTAACAAGGAGATTGGAGAAACAGAGCAGAAGCTAAAGCATGCATAGGGAACAGAAATCAATGCAAGGGGATCCTTTCCATTGCAAAGAGTGGATCACATACCTCATAGAGCAGCAGAATGATCTGTTTAGGAAGGCGATTCTCACAAGCTCAAAGCCTAATTTATAGTACTGTGGCAACTCTCATTTTTTCTAAAACTGTTCATACATTTAAAAATGTGGATTCTAAAATAAATTTACACTGTATTGTTCTGCATTTATCCTTGTAAAAGACACTATCAACAATATTGCTATAAACTCGTGTATTATTTTGTATTACATATTCGTTTCCAGACTCTTGCTGTGGTATAAAAGTCAGAGTGGAGCCCAGTGAATTGCGTCTTCAGAAATATGTTGGTGATACCCTCACTCTAACCTGCTCTGTTAAATATGAACAGGAAGAAGAATCCAAATTTAAGATGACATGGCTTATTCCCACAAATGCGTAAGTTTTTTATTGAAATTTTTGTTATAATAATGTGCATGTTGTCTTGTATGCTGTGTGAAAAATGTTTGTTTGAGGGATAGTATCAAACCACATAGCACTGAATACCTTTAAGATTATCCAAGATGAAGTAACGAGACACCTGCTGCATCTGAATTTAATTAAGGCTTTGGAGCTAGACAGGATCTCATCATGGAATTTTTGCAAGTGGGTTGAAGACCTGTACTAGCCATTTAATGTGATATATAACAAGTTGCTGGAAAATGGAGACCTACCATAAAGTTGAAAGGTAGTCAATGAAGTGCCACTCTTCAAAAAGGTTGTCAAACAGATGATGTTAAGATACAGACCAGTGTCCTTTAGATGTTTACCATACTCAGTAATGAAATGGGGGTACAAGAATAGGATAGTAGAGCATTTCTAGAAAAGAACTTTTATAATGTAACACCAGCATGGGTTTTGAGATGGCAAACCTTATCTTACCAACATAACAGAATTCTATTACTGAGTATCATAAATCAGACTAGGCAGAGAAGGGTAGGCAGACAGCATATTTTTTAAACTGTCAGAAAGCTTTCAATGCAGACCTTACCTTGAGGTTACCTTCAGATGATTTCGGGGCTTAGCGTCCCCATGGCCCGGTCGTCGACCGGGCCTCCTCGGCCTAGTCAAACAGGCGTCGACCAGGCCTTGCTTGGAACTGGTATACATGTTGAGGACACAGGCAGGAGTGACAATGAAACATATTCCACTTTCCGAGGGTGAACAAATACTGTAGTGGTGTGGTGCCTGCATTAAAAAAGCATGTACTGTAGGTAGACTGGAAAATAAAATAAAAACACAGGGACATGATTACCACATACAAAATAATGATATACTTGGAGAGAGAGTTCTTAAAGTAGACTTCTTATTGCTTGCACTAAATAGAATGAGAGGACATAGGTACCCAATACTATAGATTGTTTATACTGTTTAATATTTCTGTGTAAAAATACACAAAGGTGTGTTTTATCATTTGCATTAAGGAACCCTCCCAAAATTGAGTAATTAAATGTGAATAGCACCAAAACCTTAAAATATCATACAAGAATCTTGAAAATGCCAATTAGTCCATTTTATCAGGGTTTCACTGTACAGTATCTTTTTTGTTATACAGAATACAAAAAACTGTTTACCCCATTGGTTTTGAAATCTTTTTTAGCTTTTTCTTTTAGCTTTTTTTTTTTAATGTATATTTAATTCATTGTGTAAGATTTACTTTTCGTGATGACCATACATTATATAATGGTGTAGTTTTATGTGTAGATTGAAGCAATGTTAGTGTCTTGTGCCAGAGAAGTTGAAAGAAAAGATATGCACAAATAAGAATGTTGAGGGATGTTTGTATTTCTTTGGCTTACAGGGAAAAGAGAGTCTTCTTTGATGAAGATGCTGGAAAGGCCAGAGTGACTGTTGTTGACTTGGAAGAAACGGACGGAGGAAATTACACATGTGGCGTTGAAGCAGAGCCCGAAACACCCGTGAAAAAAATAGTGCTGGTTGTTGTTTTGCCACGTAAGTACGGTACTGTTGAGGGTTAGGTGGCCATATGTGGTTCAGATACTACCATCTTATAGCTGAATGAGCAACAACCAGCAATTTATTAGAACACTATATGTGTCCTAATAAATTGTGCTCTTAACAACCAGAGCACTAATTAGGATGCCTACTACAGGATGCCTACTATGCGTTCTAGGTTATCTCAAGGTTGTCGAGGAGGGGAGGTAACGGCTTTGTGTGTGTGTGTTTCCTACAGTTCAGTTTAGCTGGATGCTCACCTTCGGTGGTCCCTAGTTCCTGCATAACTCTACATGGACATTTGGAAAGTTCCCTTGGCACGGGTACATAGAATATTGCTCTGCTTCACTGTATTATTTGCTCTCCCAAGTGATAGCAAAATATTAACATAGGGAGCAACGAAGTGAGTTTGCTTAGAAAGGCACTTTTCATATACAATCATCTTGAGATATCTTGAGGTTATCTTGAGATGATTTCGGGGCTTTTTAGTGTCCCCGCAGCCCGGTCCTCGACCAGGCCTCCACCCCCAGGAAGCAGCCCGTGACAGCTGACTAACACCCAGGTACCTATTTTACTGCTAGGTAACAGGGGCATAGGGTGAAAGAAACTCTGCCCATTGTTTCTCGCCGGCGCCTGGGATCGAACCCAGGACCACAGGATCACAAGTCCGGCGTGCTGTCCGCTCGGCCGACCGGCTCCCCCATAGCTTAATTTCTTTCTTTTTCATAGCTTAATTTCATTTATACACAATTGTTTTCACAGTACAAATGTATAGGTTTAATCATTACAGGTGGTCAAGTATCTCATTGTTCACCGGATGCATTCAACTGTGCTATTGGACACTGTATTCCGCCTCGCTACAAGTGTGATGGTCGTCCAGACTGCCTTGATGGCTCTGATGAAAGGCAGGAGCACTGTGGTAAGTAGTAACCCCCCCCACCCCACCCCACTATGGCTACCATATTTTTCTGTTAAGCAAAAATGATATTCAGTTCCTAGTTAAACTCTGTACCTAATTTCCCAGAAGTTGCAGTGTGTACAATCATTACACACTAAATGAAGGTACTTTGTTCAAGATTAAAATAAACTAAGATCAAACAAATTAAAAAGAAAACAATTTAAAAATTGCTAAGAAACCAGGACAAAAACAGAAACAATAAAGTCCCTAAGAATATTCAAAATACCAGTACAGTACTGCATTTCCTTCTAGTTTCACTGCAAGAAAGATTATCTTGAGGTTATCTTGAGATGATTTCGGAGCTTAGCATCCCCGCGGCCCGGTCCTCGACCAGGCCTCCTTTTTGTTACACAGCCCCAGGAAGCAGCCCGTAGCAGTTGTCTAACTCCCAGGTACCTATTTACTGCTAGGTAATGGGGGCATCAAAGTGAAAGAAACTCGGTCTATTTGTTTCTGCCTCCACCGGGAATCGAACCTCAGGATTATGAATCTGAAACGCTGTCCACTCAACTGTCAGGCCACCTGACAAGGGAGCGATACTTTAATACCTTATTAGACAAGGTGTCTCACACCCAAGGTGCTTGTGATCTTATAAGACTACTACACCCAATAAATGTGTTGCTTTGCCAGTAGTAGCCTTAAATTAATAGGCCCCATTGTATATGATTCTGTCACTTTATAACATGTAGACAATTTGTATCAAAGATGTAGGCAGAAGGATCACTGCCACCTTTTTTTTTTTATATAGACAAGTACTTAACCACTTCTTCCTATTTTAATTTTTTTTTAATTTTCTGCCTTCAAGGTCCTGATCCGTGCAAAGATAAGCTTGCCTGTGACGATGGACGTTGCCTTGCTCATAAAATGTGTTGCCGAGAACGGGACCTCTCACCTCCTAATTGTACCATAATGCCTACAATACAGTGCTGTAGACAACTTGTGCATCCTGGTAGGTGTTTACTATTAGGTGAAATATGCACTTATCCTTTGAGAACAAGCACAATGAGTCTCCTTTTACCAGGAGGAAGGCATCCAAGATACAAATATATAATCTCTCAACATTCAATATAATATAAACACAGACCTCACAATAACATGATATATCACATAAACAAACCGACAAGAGGCCGTGATGAGGGTTTGAACCGATGCACTGAGTGTTCGCAGACAAGTTCTAGTCATCTGTACCACATTCTATGTGGTGGTGCAGTTGACTAGAATGTGTCTGGGTACTGTACTTTCAGGGTATAGGTTCAAACCCTCATCAAGGCCCTTGTGGATTTGTTCATTCAATATAATGTTTGGGTTTTGTATACAAATCTTTATTGTCTTGAAGTGTTGCCACTTGTCATCTGCTCTAAAGTCAAGATTTACTGTATACAGTATTGTTAAATGCTCGCTCCTTGGAAAAAAAACAAATTTTCTCTTTCTTTCCACTTTAGATCATTTTGTAAATTCTGTGTGATTGATTCATTTGTAGATAAAATACTGTATATAATATATTACATGTAAACCATATTTATGTGTACTGTATATGTTAACAGTATCAAATTGACATGCAATATAGTTTATAAATTTAATCATTCCAGCACTTCTAGATCAAGATCTGTATTACTGGGAAGCAAAGTCCAGCCAGTGGAACAACCAACCAGATTCCACACTTGTTATGGGTAAAATGACTGATTGTATCTCTTGAACATAGTTCTAACATAGTGAGAACTTTATAAATTACATTTAATATTAAGTAATTACACTATCATACAGGAATGTCCACGGTGTCGTTTATGGTTCGCTGTGGTTTCCCTGGTTCCCTTCCAGGGCTCGTCTTTTCCGTTCCAGGGCTCGTGTTTCATAGATCATCCACAGTGTCTTATGCTCGAGTTCGCCTGCAGTCTACCCTCCTGTCCTTGATGTGCTTCAATTGGCCGATCTGTCGGCGCTTTTTGCTGATCTGTTTTGGGCCGTTCTTCGGGTGCGGGGGTTTTGCTGGTCGAACAGGGTCCCAACAGCCAATGTATCTTGTGGACATTCCCAGTCTTCTGTAGCTTTGTGTGGCCTTTCCTTGACAGTGGGAGACATGAATAACTTTACATAAAAGGTTTTCATAATGTCACCACTCTTGCACCTCTCCGAAGGGGCCAGGTTCTGGCTCGTGGTCTCTGGTAGGCTAATAAGAACTCTGCAACTGATGGCACTGAGTAGTTTGGCACTGTATCAGTGTAGTAGCTTCAGGGAGCAAGATATTTGCATTTCATTTCATTCAATGCTGGTTTTTTAAGTGGCTGAACATTGACAACTTTCCTATATTGTACCTGAATTTTTTGTTTGAATGAGCTGGATGTAAATGATGGGAGCCCCTTATTCTCTCCCTTAACTTGTTTGCACAGTAGTACTGTACTGCCATCTAGTAGCAGTCTGTGTAGCTAGTGATGGGTTTAAGCCGATTCAGAAAAATCCTTGTCAATTCTCAAGTGGTCAAGGCTTGTTTGAATGTATTTTTGAGTGACTTTAAGGGATTTGGTGAGGCATAGCGAGAGATTATCTTTGAGTAGATCAAGATGTGCTCCCTGCTAAGAGCAGAAGAGGGAGCGCAAGATAAACAAGACCATTTGAACAAGACAATTTGAAAAAGCACTTGATTTTTTGAGGTCAAAGGTCATATACTGTAGAGCCTGGCATAATATCTGTATTTTTTTCCTCCTAAAATATCAATAGGTTCACTAAAGTAAGTGAAAAAGACACTAGAATACTGTAACATCTATCAGTGCTCTTTAAGCAACCAATCAATATCAAGTTTAATTTACTTCTGTTTATAGTTCAGTATTTAGAAATTGGTATTGTTTGAAATTATTATTTTTGTTTTTATTCCAGGATGTATTGTGGCAGTTGCAAACTTGGTAACGGTAGCAATTATTGTTGGAGTACGATACCACCTATGGCGCTCGAATGGGACCACCTCTCGTGCTCACTATCACATGAATCGACTGAGATCAGCAACTCTCCGTCCATTTGGTCTGGGCTCTTCCGTCTCCCCACCGTCGACCACAGATCAGTATCAGCTAAGATCAGCCGATAGCATTTATGCAAGGAGAATTCCAGGATTACGTTCTGATTTACTGGCTCCAGAAATTGTGCGGGAGCAGCGTCAACAATGTACACGTCAGCAGCGGCCATTTAGTGGGGGAGTTGTCTTGTGTCCTCCCTCAAGTTCTCAGCCTCCACATTACTCACAGCTTCCGGTCACTCCTTCAGGCCCACCTCCCTCTTACCATCAGGCAGGTTACGCTAACAGTGAGACAAATAACATACAATTTTCTGTAGGGAAATGTACAACAAGGAATGGAAACAAAGAGTGTACAACATTAATATTGTATGTAATTTATAATAGATTGTCTTGAAGTAGGTAAGGTAATTATCAGGAGAAAGCACTAAACCATTATGACACTGTATATAGCACTTGGAAGGGATGTGAGGGATAAGGATTTAGGATAGGATAAACAAAAGGAATGGTGGCCAACCTCTTTGACGCTCGGTAATTGAATGCCGATCTGCAAGAAGCGGGACCATCCTTCTGCCGTTCAGTCCCTGATTGTCCAAGTGGTTGGGCACCATTCCTGTCCTGTGTCGTATCCTAAATCCTTATCCTCATATCCCTTCCAAGTGCTATATAGTTGTAATGGCTTAGTGCTCCCTGAACTAGCTTCAGGGAACCACCGTGGCCCTACCAGACATTTCATTACATTCACAGCAGGTTTTATAACTTATGCAATAATGTTACAACAGCACTAAGTGTTATCAGCAGACCTCTGAATTACTCTAAGTAAAGGCATAACTTTTATATTAATAATGGTAAAATACAATATCAAATTGAATTTTGTTTAAAAAAATCCGAGCTATTCACATTTGGTTGTCCAGTAAAGTAGTGTCTGCTGTGTCTTCGGAACAAGGATCGTAATCGTGTCACTGAGGGCATTCTTGGCATTAATACCACACAAATGTTTTCAGACATTTCAGGTTATATATATATATATATATAGAGTATACAGTACAGTATATATATATATTTTTAGTGTATATTTATAAATTTATTTATATATTTTAAATTAATCTTACCCCATGGTAGATGAGAAGCTTTTTGTTTTACCCATTGCTAAAAGGGTAAAGAATAATTGGGAGTATAGTAATATTTATTTTTTTACAGGTTGTTGGAGCACCTCCACCGCCATACTCATCACGTGACGATCTTACTGTAGCAAACTCAAATGAAGGTTCATCTCTCTCCCTGCTCTCGCCACTCCTTCACAACGCCATCAACAACAACAACAATGGGGACATAAACGGGAACAATACGCCACACCTCACCGTAATGCACAACCATAACATGGGCCATGCTGTAGCTTCTACATCAAGTTCCTCGCATTATGCAGGCCAACAGACTCGAGGTAATAAATAAGATACCATCGTAAAGGTTTCTTATGCAGTATTCCTGTTTGCTTCAACATGTGGTTGTCAATGTGTAAACAAACTTGTGAAACTGTAGCAGCTACACGTACAAGGAAGGTTTTTATTAGCCACTTTCGTAGTGCCAAGAATAGATTCGAGACTTTAAGGTCATCAAGAATGATTTGCTAACATAGGTTAATAAATATTGTTGTGTGTTATGATACTTTAAATGGAGGTTAAGTTGGTTAATACAGACAATAACTATGTTGTAAATAAATCACTCTTGTCATTTGTGAACTTACAGAGTATCTTTCCCATACAAAATATAATGTGAAATATATTGCCACATCATATGGCAATTCCTTATCTTTTAAAATGTCAATTTCTAGTGGTGTTTGTGTAAATAAAAAAATATTTTACATAATATGTTACATACAATACAAATATTGTATGTAATTTATAATAGATTGTCTTGAAGTAGGTAAACATACATGCATACATATATATGTCATACTTGATAGCCAGAATGCACTACTTGGCCTAGTATGCAAGGCCAGAATTGCCTAACAAACAGAGATTTTTGTTATTTTCAAATATTTCTTTTCAAATTGGTTTATTTGAATTAATATCATTATATTATATTATATTAAGAACATGAATTACTGACTTAGTTAGGTGAGGTTAGGTAGATTAGGTTAGGTTTGATCAGATTTCTATGTTAGTTTTAACTCAAATTCATCTCCTGTATTACTACAAATTTAACACCGAGTGCCAAAGTCAAACGATAATATTCATAAGAAATGTTGGACAATCTTTATTGATTTTGTTTTGTTTATCAAGTAAGTTGTGAAAAGGGGTTGTGAATCTGGCAACTAGTAAGCTCTTAGATTATGTTTATGTAACTCTGAATATAGAATTCCCATAGTTTTCTTTTTTTATACGTTGGCAGCTTTACTTTCATATAAATACATATACATATATTCTCTATACAATGTCCTTTAATTTTTTGTATATTGATGCTATATTTCCAAGCAAAAGGTTCTTAAAATAATGATTAATATTGGAAAGCATTAAGAGTTCTTTCTGCATATCTAGATATCTTGGAGAATCTGTTCTAAGTTGTCTAATACAGTGCTTAGGACACAAACAACGTCTGAAGGATTAGATTTGCCACGAATCAAGATTTGCCTCCGATATTTGACTTATTATAAGTATGCTTGATATTGTGGTTCATGTATTGCACAAAGCTGAGCCTGGAGCAATAGTCCAAGCAGGAAAACATAGCGTCAAGGAAGGAAGCTCTCGCCTGCTGGGAGGTGTTCCAAAACATTGTCGGCTGCTCGTTGTGGGCTGGCCCGTATTGTTGGGCAAAGGTAAATTGGAATTAATTCATTATTATTATATTTTTTTTTTAGTTTTATACTTTTTATTTATATCTCATATTGTTATTAGTGTTTTGAGTTTGGCAGTCTTTGCAGTAGCAGTTTCTTGTTATTACTTTTGCTGTATCTTACATCTTCTGACTTAGGGAGGTCCATTCTATTAAGCAGTTACATGGCTTAACTTTGAAATTCCCAAAACATTTTAAATTTGACATAGAGGAATTGGTGGCTTAAAAAATCATGGAGCCTAATACAAAATAAGGTGTTGAGTAGCATGGATGCTCCTTGTTGAGAAGCCTTACTTACTTCCCTAGCCAGGGTCAAAATGCTGCGCCCATTCTAGGCTTTCGCCAATCTGTACCCTCATGGTGACATAATAAAATGGTCTTGCTATGTCTTGTTTGGACAGCACGCTGGACTTGTGATCCTGTGGTCCTGGGTTCGATCCCAGGCGCCGGCGAGAAACAATGGGCAGAGTTTCTTTCACCCTATGCCCCTGTTACCTAGTAGTAAAATAAGTACCTGGGTGTTAGTCAGCTGTCACGGGCTGCTTCCTAGGGGTGGAGGTCTGGTCAAGGACCAGGCCGCGGGGACACTAAAAAGCCCCGAAATCATCTCAAGATAACCTCAAGATGGTCCTGCCACTTAGTTGTGCAGCACAAACAGGGCACATAAATCTCAATCCACCACCAAGAAGACTATTAGTTAATACTGTATATAAAATAGCAGAGCCTTAGACAATGCCCTTTTGAAGTGAATTGAAATCACAAGAACAGTCAATTATCCATCTGTTAACTGCCATTTAGCTAACTACTCGCTGCACTGAATGCCATCAGATAGCAACATCACCACCACAAATGAGTCAGAGGCAGCAACCCCCATTTACAGTCCAGGCCACCAAGGTTCCATGGAAAGTTGGGACTGTAAGGGTAGGGATAGGAATGACCGAGTAGAAAGGAGCATTTCATATTACTTAATTCTTTATTTTTAAGCAGTGTTTCCTTGGTTGCTTCCTTAGCAAACTCACCACAGAGATCCTCCCAAAAATTAATTGAACCAAAATAAAGTTTTGCCCACTTAGTCCATCAAACCCAGGTTCCACACCAGGCTCGTAATGAATCACAATTGCCTAATGGAGACCAGAAACAGAATGTAGTCCTCCCCTCAGTAGGACCTTAGGGGGACTTGGGATACAAGATCAACCACATTACTGAAGGGGGAAACCCACAAGAAAGATAGAGCTCGCCAAAACAAGCAGATATATTGATAACATTTGCAACTAATTCAAACAATGTACACAATTGTCTAAGTCCAACAGCTAGTTAGCTGCACATCCTCACCACCAGATGGCAGTCGCACGAACTGAGGGTCTTGGGAAGCCACCCCCAGTCATTTACACACCACCCAAGCAAGACTACTCAAACACCACAGGAAGGAGGGAAGGGCGGGACTAAGGAGAGGTACAGAGGGGACCCACCAGAAAGAAACATTTCATTATATCCAATTCTGGATTTTTGTATCTTCATTGTAGTACATTGAACTTCAGATGAAAGTATCCATTATTAGTGTCATTCCTTTGGTGGCTCAAGAAATAAGACAATAGAATTTTAACTTAAATTTTGCTTTCAGATTAGAAATGATATACAGAAATATCCTGTTGGTAGGGATAAATACACATTAGTATAATAAAGGAGTGTCATCATCATGTCTGCAGCAACAAATTATCAGAGCATAGTTTTTTCTGTATTCTTTTGGTTCTGTGTAGTTATATAGCTTTCCAGGTTTGGAGATTTCTTTTGACATTTTTGTCATTTCTATCTATATGACGATAAGACTAATTATTGTATGATTGCATTTGACTTTCCAACGATGAGGCTCACGCTGAAATCCCACCAATATTTCCAGCCAATAATCTACAAATAGCTATAAATTTCATTCAAATTGCTAAACTGTCTTAGTTTCCATCTCCGAGGGACTTTGATAGCGCGTCTATTCCGGCAGGCTTGTCACCCCTTGTCACCTTCAATTTTAGTGCTGGTAAGGAAATTATATTTTCATTGCAAAATGAAATGCAGCTCTTAATCTTTATTAATGAAACATTTTAGTTTTATTAGCAGGTGTTTAATGGCCTGTTGTTGAATCTCATGACAGAAAATTTGCCATTGAATACTCGTAATAATATTTGTTTTGTTTTGGTGTTGATCCCTCTCTGGCATCACTTGTGCTTAAACCATCAGTCTGGCTGATGTCTGCCTGCATTCTCATTTAGACAAAGTTAGATTCACAACTGCTTGAATATAAACATTCAGGATTTACAACTGGTGAGAGGGATGGTGGTCGTGTTACTGCCCTCATGAGTTCACATTTCGCAGAACTTTGCCAAATAATTTGTTTACATAAAATAGCATTCCTTTAATCTAAATTACGAAGCAATCAAGTTTGATGTTATGGTGTTATTTTACATAGGAAGCTATTTATTTATTTATTAATGATAAAACTCAACATGTACAGTATATTTTAGGATTAATGACTAAACTAGTTTGTATTTAATTTAAGTTACAAGGTTTTTTTATCGGTATTAGGATGTTACCTCTGTATTATAGCTTATTATTATTATTATTATGGAAATGTGTAAATACCTAAGTGTAGTTACAGGATGAGAGTTATGCTCGTGGTGTCCCGTCTTCCCAGTACTCTTTGTCGTATAACGCTTTGAAACTACCGACGGTTTTGGCCTCCACCACCTTCTCACTTAGCTTGTTCCAACTGTCTACCACTCTGTTTGCAAAAGAAAACTTTCTAATATTTTTTGGTACCTTTGTTTCCTCAGCTTGAATCTATGACCTCTTGTTCTTGAGGCAGCCGCTTTCAGGAATTACTCTATTTGGTCGATTTCCGATATTTTGGACATAGTGATCGTGTCACCTCTTTTTCTTCTATCGTCTGGCTTTGGCATATTTAACGCCTCTAGCCTCTCCTCATAACTCTAGTTTTTCAGTTCTGGAAGCAATTTTGGAGTTTTGCACCTTTTTCAGTTTATAATAATAGTAATGCATTGTGTCAGGGGGACAGGCAGCCAGTGTGTTTACACACAATAGGCTTATATTGAGATCCGCTCCCTTCCCGAGATCGAATTAGAGACCATCCCCCAGGATGCAACCCCACAAGAAGCCGACTAACTCCTGGGTATCTACTTGCTGCTTGGTGAACAGGACACTTAGGTGATACGAAATGCATCCAGCCTTTTCTGTCATATTTCAGTGTGTGTGTGTGTGTGTGTACGTACTTGCATGTTTATATTTATACTATTATGCATTTTTATATGTGTCTGGCTCCGCTGTGAATCACTCTCACCACTCTTCACAACAGCAGTTCTCGTGTGATGACACAGAATTGTTTGTCTTAACCATTCTGAGAAAAGATGCTGTTCTAATATTCTATTATGGTACATTCATTTGATTTTTACTGAAAGTACTACTTATCCAAATGGCTCCACTGCCAGAAGACTGTAACTCCTAATATAGCTGTGGAATATTATGACATGTTCCAGTTCAGGAAATGGGCTCAAATTAGAATTAATATTTTTCCCTTTTTAACATTATAAATATATTTTGTCTTACTGTATTATTTAATTTTTTAAAACAAAGTCTTCAGATGTCCTGCATATATATATATATATTAAGACAATTGTATATTTCTTGACTAACATTGAGTATTATGGTAATTAGATGCCTGCACTGAAAGAAACCTAGTTAGATGACAGACACACTATTGCTGGAAGTTTTGTTATAAATATCCAGTAAATTTTCATGGATGTATAAGAATGACAAAGGATATGTTGCAGAAGTGCCAAATACTAACACGTACAGTAAGACCCCAGTAATACATGGGGCTGTGTTACCTTACCTTGCAATGATTTCGCAGCTCAAGTTCCCCGCGGCCCGGTCCTCGATCAGGCCTCTTACTGTTACCGAAACCTCGGCGTATTTTAAATTGGGCTTATTTTCGTTCTGACTATAGTAAACTGCAGGTATGGTTCTCCAATGTTGAAAATTAATGTAACAACTTTTAAAATAAAATACAGTACATAACTAGTTATGCATTAATGTATACAGTGTAGCATGGTAGAATGTATACAAAATGAACTTGGAATAGCCAGTCAGTACCTCTAAGGTTGGGATGCTTATTACGGGAAAACTATGTTCATCTACATGTGTGTGTAAGAATCATTTAGTGATTATTATGGGTACAAATATAATTTCAGGTAAACAACATAACTGGCAGAAAGATGCAGTAAATTACATTTAATGCTCATCTTTGTACACATCGTGCTGTGTGTGTTTTGCTTATTTACTCATGTGGTCATAATTGGCATGTGCACTCTCAGTATCTGTTTACTTGGTGTCTTTAGGTTTCACTTATTATGCTGTAATGTGTTTGCGGTATGTGGTACAGCCAATAGGTCAGTATATAAAGTGCTGGGGCCAGATTCACGAAGCAGTTATGCAAGCACTTACGAACCTGTACATCTTTTCTCAATCTTTGGCGGCTTTGTTTACAATTATTAAACAGTTAATGAGCTCCGAAGCACCAGGAGGCTTTTTATAACAATAACAACAGTTGATTTGAAAGTTTTCATGCTTGCAAACTGTTTAATAAATGTAACCAAAGCCGTCAAATATTGAGGAAAGATGTACACGTTCGCAAGTGCTTGCGTAACTACTTCGTGAATCTGGCCCCTGGACTATATATTGTGTCATTGTTGTTATGCTGACTCCCACTTTCTTTGTACAGTCCAGTGTCATACTACTTGACCAAATACTTCATACAGATTTATGGTATACGTATATATTATGTATTGCTGTATATTATTATATTTTTGGGATTTTGCCATGTTCTTGTTTGTTAAGAGAAAGCAAGTTTTGAGTCTCATCTGGAAAAGCTTTCTCAGTAACTACCCAGAGCTGTTACCCACTAAGCCTATGAATCGTGGCAGGGTTCTGATCCACAGGAAGTAGAGACCAGAATCTAGTTCTCTACAAGGAGGTGAGGGAAGCTAAGGGATCAGATATCAACATAAAACTGAGGAAAGAAATACAAAATTATGAAAATAAGGCAAATGATAATTTTCTGTGGGTGAACACTATTGTCTGTAATTCACCCAATCGCTATCATATGGCTGCACAGGTTACCCGGTGGTCTCATCCTGTCACCA